CTGCAGCCCTGCCCACAGCGGGCTCTAGCACTTTCGTTGTTTGTTTCCAGTTTGATAGGTGTGCAGTCGTGGCAGGTAGTTCAGATTTTTATTATTTTAGAGACACCAGAAAGGGGGTGCTTAAAAGCCCTTCACCTGCATTGTCATGTTTTCAGAGTCATGGTCTTTGAGACTTTTCAAGTGGTGTCTACCATTGTAAAAATAACATACCCAAAAGAACTGAAAACAGGTGTTCAAACAAAACTGCGTACAGGCATGTTCACAATAGTCAAAACGTAGAAATAACCCAAGTGTCAGTGAACAGATGAACAGGTAAACAAAATGTAGCCTGTCCATGTGATGGAATATTATTCAGCCATGAAAAGGAACGAAGTTCTTACCCACGCTCGATGTGGATGGACGTCATGCTGGTGATGGAACCAGTCACGGAAGATCACACAGTGCATGATTCCATTCATATGAAACATCCAGAAGAGGGGACCCACAGAGACAGGAAGTGGATCAGGGGCTGTTGGGGGCTGGGGTGGGAGAGTCGGCGAGTGACCACTGGTGGGCTTAGGGCTTCCTTTTGGGGTGATGAAAACATTGTGGAACTAGATAGCAGTGATGATTACATGACCTTGTGAGTGTACTAAATACCATCAAATTGTATACTTTAAGATGCTTAAAATGCAGTTTCTGTTATGTGATTTATACCACAATAGTCAAGCAGTGATAACAGGAACAAAGTCTCCTACCTCAACCCACATGGTGATTTACAGACCGAGGGGCCCGGGCATGTTGGGGCGGCTGACAAGGTCACCGTCGGAGGAGCTGAATGCCCCTGCTGTCCCCACGGGCACTCTCCGTGCCTATCCAGGCCCCAGCCCTCCCTCCCAAATCTCATCTCTGTCCTTTTCCATTTTGTTGGGCAGAAGTCTCTTTATAAAAGTGATTTTATATCTCGGAGCCCATCCATCTGCGTCTGACGATTCCTCCAATCCCTTCAACAGACACTTGTCTGCCGCTGCAATTGATGTCTACACACTATTTTGTTTCACTGTGGAGTTTCATGGCTTCTTCTAAAAACCATTTAACTTGGACATGCCTGAAGGGTGGAGGTTCAGGGTGAGGGGGAAGGTCAAGGGGACAGCATCCGGCTCGACCCCTGCTGCCTAGGACCTTTCTGGGCGGGGCCCAGGATAGGGAGCTGGTCAGGACCCCTCCCCCGCCTGGTCTGGGTACAGCCTTCTCTCCAGTCTGGGCTGGCTTTTCCACCTGACGGGCCCAGAACTGCCTGGGAAGGACTGCGTGCCATCCTACTCCATCCTCTAACACCCACGAGGGAGGAACTGTCCTTATCCCCATTTTACAGATGGGAAAACTGAGGCACGGTCATGTGCCAGCTCCAGGTCACACAGCCTCGGGGGTGTGGATTACATGCCACCCATGCTGGGGATCTCTGGAGTACCCCCCGAGTCCTGAAGGTGGACACAACTGCTCAGACAGCCACATGCAGCCACTCACACTGGGGCAGGTAAACTGACTCACGCATGCCGCATCCCAGAGCCCCACCCATCTGCACCTGCCTCCCTGGGTGAGGAGAGGCCAGGACAGGAGCTGAGTGGAGAGAACTGTCACCCTCTGTCAGCCTCCCCGCCCTCCACGGCTTGCCTAGCAGAGAGACGTGGGTCCGGTGCTCGCCTCCGCTGCCAGCCAGGCTGCTGGGCTGCTCCTGGCTCCCTCCCTGCCCTCCTGCTGCCCCCAGCCCATCCTCATCCCCTTATCCACCCTCCTGCATCCTCCCATCTCACTGCAGTTTGACACCTCTGTGGGGGTGGGGGGAGGGGCTTCCACAGCTGCCTTGGGGACCACCAGGGAGGTACCCCCCAACCTCAGGACCTCCCTACAGCTTTGCAAGTGCCCCCACTCCCATCCAGACTGTGTGCCCTTCAAGGTTCGGCCTAGAGAACTCTTCTTCCAGGAAGCACTCCTGAACCTCCCTCCCCCGAGCCCAACCTCTGGGCCTCTGGATCACGCGCTGGGCCACCGGGCTCCCTCCTCTCCCCCCACCCCAGGCTGGCCCCTTCTGTGCAGGGCACCGCGGCCCCTGCCCGCTGGCTTCCCCAGCACCTGCTGTGGTGGCACCATGACTTTGCAGAGCAGGTCCCCTCCCCAGGGGCCCAGGCTCAGGGCTGTCTGAGCTGCTCCAAATCCTTTCGTTATTAAAATGTTCCCTTGGTTGTGGGAGAGATGGTACAGGGACATGCCACCTGCCTCCACCCGGCAGGTGGGTCTGCTCAGAGGACCGGAGGCTCCTTGAGTTGTCATTCCAGGTGGGAGCGAGCGAGGTAGGGTGGGTAGAGGAGGCCAGATGGCCGTGTCTCTCCCTCTCACGTCCGTGTGACCTTGGGCCTGTTGTGGCCACCTGGACCTCCTGGGGGTGCTCGGTGGTAGAGACAGAGGCTCTGGCTCCCATCTGGCAACCTTCCACCCAGAGACAGGAGGAGGGAGGGGCTTTGGGTCTCTGAGGCGGCTGGGCTGGGCCCAGCAGGAGGATCCTTTGGACAGGCCAACCCCATTAATGGCACCAGGAGTGGGCCCTGGGGACAGGATGTGGCATGGGTTGCCACTGCTTCAGGGTGACCCCAGTGCATCCAAGCCCCACGGAAGGACGAGGATGGTCATACCTGCTTGCAGGGAGGACCATGAGAGCTGCAGACCAGACCAAGGTCCCCGGCTTTGTGTGGATGGGGGTGAGCCACCCAGTGTCCGAGGTCAGTGCCCAGCAGCCCAGCAGCTGAAGTATCCTTCTGCAGCCAGGGTCACTGGTTCTGCAGCCACCTCTAGGCTGGCCCGAGGTCAGAGGAAGCAGGACACTGACTGGGGCGGGTGGACTCCTGCAACCCCCAAGTGGCCCCCTCTTTCCCTCCGAGTTGTCCCTGTCACAGAGACACCTGTCACAGAGCCAAGTCCCACCGCCCTCCACCCCTGGAGGCTGCCCAACCCAGGGAGACCTTTGCCCTGCCCTCCCCATCTCTGGGCCCTGACCAGGGGGTTCTAACAGACACCCCCCGACTACACCCTGGGGTGTGTGAGGCCAAGACCCAGTAGGACATATGTGTGTCTGAGGGCCCTGCGCTGGCTAGCAGACCCCAGGGGAGGAGCACTCTGAGGGTGGACCTGACGTGGGGTGTCCCACAGGGCTGCCTGGGGAGAAAGGTGCTGGGGATTCTGCCTTTGAAAACTCTCCGCGTCCCGAGGCTCAATTCTCCCCTCACAAATGCAACTTGAAAACAAACAAATCCAATGATCCCCACCACCTGCCCCTGCTCAGCTGCAGCTCTGCCCCCCAACTCCTGGCTGTGCCCACCCAGTCCATGCAGGCCTCACCTGTGACAGCCCCACGTGGGGGGATTCCCGGCAGAGTCCTGGCACTGCGTGGGGCAGGAAGGGGTTGAGGGGGCCGGGCACCAGGCAGGTCTCTTACCGTTTCTGCTCAAGCTGTGCCCATGGCTGCCCCTCCACATGGCTGGTGTCACCCCACTTCCCAGATGAGGAAACGGAGTTTGGGAGCAGGCAATTTGCCCAGCCACACGATTGACAAGGGCAGAGCCAAGATCCAACTCAGGAGCTCTTCCCAGGGTGTCTTCATTTCATGAGCACCTCTGGCCTCTGGACTGCAGGCTGGGGGGCTGAGGGGGCTGCTGCCACGGGGACCAGGAAGGCCCAGAGTCCCTGCCTCGGCGACTGTCCTGTCACCGGGTGAGCCTGTGCTGAGACTCCATCTCCCCCGTTAGCCTGGGAGTCCTGTGCAGGCAAGACCCAGGGTACCTGGAGCTCGCAGCCGAGAGGTTGCCCAAGGTCGCCTGGCTCTGAAGTTCAGGGGACAGATGTTGGCTGGGGGAGGGGTGCCAGGAGGAAGGAACAGCCTGGTCAAAGGAGGCGGGAGAGGGGATGGAGGAGGCAGGGGCTACAGGACATGCACTGGGGGAGGGGTGTGAGTTTCCTGCTAAGAGGACTGTTGGGGGGTGTCTCCAAAGAGGCTGAGGCAGAGGGGCTGAATGGCCACCAGGCTGAGTGTTCCAGGCCAGCTGAGGGGATGCAGAACCCAGAGGAGCAGGTGTCTGGCAGCATTTTACAGCCAATGGCACCCTCTGCTGGCCAGAATGGGCATCGCCCCTGGGTTGGGGGCTCCCCAGGACCCTGGTGCTTCTGCCCACGCAGCCCGGCCCTGGTTGGCCTTGGGGACAGCCTTCCCAGGTGGGACCTGCCTCCTCCCCAACACTGGCGCCCACCCAGAGGCCAGATTCAACTCCCCATCAAAGAGTAGGCCCACCTCCCCACCGTGCCCTGGCGGAGACCCTGGCTGGGACATGGAAGGAGGAGCGGGAGACGATGTGGGCCTGGCCCTTGGGCAGTGGTCCCAGGAGCAGATGTGGCCAGGGTCCCAGCAGACACTGCCCCGGTGGGGGCTTGCCATAGGCATGGTGTTGGGGCCGGTGCTGGGACATGAGGCATGGAGAGGAGCCACCTGTAGCACTGCAGATATTAGGGTAAAAGTGCCACTGCCAGTGCCCCCAAATGCTCCCCTGAGGCCCCCCTAACAGCCCCAGCCCCTCCACCCTGATGGGGTCTCAAAGTGAGCTGATCCCAGAGCCCAGCACAGGACAAGGCTCAGAGAAGGGAATTGGGAGTCAAAGCGTGGATGAACCAACAAGGGGCAGTGGGCTTTGGGCAGCGCCCCCCACCCCTGCCCCCGAGGACAGAACAGAGCCCGGGACTGGCTGGTACTTTAAGAGGGAAGTTCTGTTCCACTGAACCCCCCTCCCCCACTGGGGGGGATCCACGTTGCCCAGCAACAGGAGGGCCTTGGTGTGTACAGTGTCTCGGGGAGACTAGGAGCTGTGACCTGCTCTGGGGACAGAGTGGCTGGCTCTGCCCAGCTGACTGTGCCTGGCTGACTGTGCCAGCGACCCTCCCCCCTCGCTCCCCACAACCACTGGTTGGGCAGCAGCACCATGGCACAGACGGACGTGCTCCTGACCAAGCAGCCAGCCCTGCAGACAATAGAGCTGTGCGAACTGCCCCCCAAGGTGTACGACGTGGCCCGCAACACGGGTGCCCACACGTCCTCGGGCCTGGCCACCGCCGGCTTCCGCACAGCCAAGTACCTGGTGGATGAATGGTTTCAGAGCTGCTACGCCCGCTACCACCAGGCCTTTGCGGACCGCGACCGGTCGGAGCAGCAGCGACACGAGAGCCAGCAGCTGGTGGCTGAGACACAGGCCCTGGCATGGCGCACGCAGCAGGACTCCACGCAGAAGGTGGGCCAGCGCCTGCAGGACACACACTACTGGAAGTCGGAGCTGCAGCGCCAGGTGGACGAGCTGATCGCTGAGACCGACCTGCTGCTGGCCCAGAAGCAGCGGCTGGAGCGCGCCCTGGAAGCCACAGCAGTGCCCTACGCCATCGCCACTGACAACCTGCAGTGCCGTGAACGCCGCCAGCACCCTGACCTTGTGCGCGACCATGTGGAGACGGAGCTGCTGAAGGTGCCACTGGGCGCCCCTCGCCTTTCTCCAGGGAGCACACGCTGCACTGGGCCAGAGTGGGTGGGCCGCAGGGGCACCAAGAGGTAGGGAGTCCTGGGCAGTTCACGTGGACAACCCAGGCCGCAGGGGCTGGCAGAGGCACTGGCACCTGTGTGCCTACCTGGCTGTACGCAGGTACACACAGAGCCCACACCCCCTGCACACACAGGACCCCTGGGAACTGGGGACCTGTTCCTTTAGTCACAGAAGGTGGCTTTTGCCTCCATTTGGCACCTGACTTCCAAGCAACCCTCTTTTGGAACCCTTCCCCTTTCAGCCCACTTCAAGTTCAAGCAAATTAAGCTTGTTCTTGTTCTCCCTGAGGCTGAGCCACAAGACCCCCTCCCACCCAGATGCCCCTGGCAGGGACAGCTACTCTCCGGGTGGCAATCCAGGACAGGCCAGTGCTGCAGGTGTGGACCGGAGCAGGTGGGCTGGGAGCTACTTGTACCTATGCATCCCACACAGAGCCCCAGCCTCAAAGAGTCCCTCCCTTTTCCGAAGTCCCCTGTACCCTCCAAACCCAGCAAAAGCTTCCTTGGGGCAGCCCACGAAGGACTAGGAGGTGACTCAGGCCTGGCCCCAGGTCCTGGCTCTGCAGAATTCTCCTCCTCTCAGTGCCTGGGGCCTCCCCTGTGAATGGGCTGCAGGCCTGTGGACATTAATGAGAGATGCGAGAAGTAAACAGCAGGCCCAGGGGGCCCAGGGAGACCCCTGTTCACCTCGCAGCTTCTTAAGAGCTCCCAAGGCTCCTGTGCAAACCCCTCTGCCCTGAGCCAGGGACCCCCTGTCCTTGCCCTTGCTCCACCTGTTTGATATGGAAACACCAGTGGTGGTGCAGGAGTGAGGAGATGGACCACAGAATAGAGCAGGACTAGACACATGTGAATTTAGAACACAATGGAGGTGAAACTCATGTCACAGGGAGAGGGTGGTTCATGCACAAATGAATACCCAGGGAGGGCATCTGGTCCCCCACGGCTTGGGGTCCTCAGAGGCTGTCCCAGGGGCAAAGGGGCAGGCTGACACCACTCAGTATGTGGGGACGCTGCAGGGATGACCCCAAAGCCCAGGGTGGGGAAGGAGTAAGGACAAGGCGTATGGGAAATGCCACAAGGTGACTCTTTCAGTGGCCCATAGAAGTTCCCCAAAGAAAATACCCCACTTACAATGCACCAAATAAATGTTCAAAAGCCCAGAATAGACCCAATGAGAAAGAGCTGGGCTCATGCCCCCATTTTCCAGGAAAAAAGACTGAGGATCAACAGGGTACGTGTCTGGCTCAAGACACCAAGCCAGGGGTCAGGCCCCAAGTCTCAGCTCCTCCCCAGTGTTCAAGGGGCTGAGAGTGGGCCGTCCTCAGACCCTCACCAGAGACCAGGGGCAGGGGGCTCTGGTGCTCAGGCGGGCTCTCCCCCTCCCCCAGGAAGCCGAGCTCATCCGGAACATTCAGGAACTCTTGAAGCGGACCATCATGCAAGCCATGAACCAGATCAGGTGCGTCAGGGCTGTCCAACATATGACCTCTGACCTCGACCCATGGGGCTGGCCCTGGGGCGGGATATCAGGAGACACAACCAGGAGGTTCAGAGAGAAGAGGGGGTTGTCTCAGGTCAGGGCTGGATGGGGGCCCAGCCTAGGGGCCTGAGCATCCAGAGCCCAGCTGGAGTCTGCTCGAAGGGTCCTGGGGAGGACCAGGCGAGGACCCACCCCGGGCGGATGAGGCCTGACACTGAGCTTCCCCTCGGGCACAAACCCCTGCCCCCAGGCTAAACCGCGAGCACAAGCAGACCTGCGAGATGGACTGGTCGGACAAGTTGCAGACCTACAGCATTGACGAGACCTGCGCGCGCTACCACAGCGAGGACACCTCCGTGCAGCGCCACCCGCACTCCGCCAAGCTCCAGGAGAGGTGAGCCCACCCTGCCGGGGGAGCCAGCTCCGGCCACTAAGGCCCTCGGAGACATGAGCAAGACCCCTGCCCAGGCCCAGCACCACGCCGTCGTTAGGGGCCCCGGGTGGCGGGCCTGGGCTGCATCTCCGCACACGGCCGGCAGAGGGCGCGAGACCACCGTCCTTGGCGGCGCTGCAAAAGGGGGGCTGGGGGGACGGGGGAGGG